TTAATTTCTAACAAGAATCATCTCAAACACAAAATAATGGTTTGTTGTCGATAAATAATACACATACAGAGAACTGTGGAGAAAGAACTTTGGTTTCTATTAGGTTGAACTATACAAAATTGCCAATACTCTTATTATTTTTTGACCTATGAAAAGAGCAATTACATATGGTTCAAACTAATGTTTCTAAACTCTGGTATTTCATATTTGTTTTTAAATTATATTCTAGAAGTTTTGTATTTGCAACAAGAAAAAGACATAACCCCTGAAAGCAGGGGAAAATGTACCAAACATTAAGAGAATGAAAAGACAAGCCACAGACTGGTAGAAAATATTTGCAAAACCTATATCTGACGAAGTACTTATATCCAAAATATACAAAGAACTTTTAAAACTCAACAATAAGAAAATAAACAAGCTAATTTTAAAATGAGCAAAAGATCTAAACAAATACCTCACTAAGAAAATATACAGATGGCAAATGAGCATATGGAAAGATGCTCAACAGCATTTGTCATTAAGCAATTGCAAATTAAAACTAACAATACAGACCTATTATTATAGAATGGCTAAAATCCAGAACACTAACAACATGAAATGCTGACAAGGATAGAGAGCAACAAGAACTCTTATGGATTGCCAGTGAGAATGCAAAATTGTACCAGCCACTTTGGAAGACAGTTTAGCATTTCTTACAAAGTTAAACACAGGCTTACCATAGGATCCTGCAATCATACTCTTCATATTTATCCAAATAATTTGAAAACTTACTTTCACACAAAAACCTGCACATGAATATTTACAGTTGTTTTATTCATGATTGCCAAAACTTGGAAGCAACTAAAATGTGCTTTAATCAATATGAATGTGGTACATCCATACAATGGAATATTTCCCAGTGATAAAAAGAAATGAGCTATCAAGCCATGGAAAGACAAGAAAGAAACTTAAATACATATTGCTAAGTGAAAAAGGCCAATCTGAAGATTCTCTACTATATGATTATAACTATATGACATTCTCGACAGGGCAAAAAGAGACAGTAAAAAGATAAGTGGTTCCCAAGTGCTCATGGGGTGGGAGGAAGGATTAATAGGTAGACAACAGGGAATTTTTTAGGCAGTAAAGTTATTATTCTATATGATACTGTAACGGTGGGTACATGTCATTAGACATTTATAAAAACTCATAGAATGTGCAACACAGAGCAAACCCTAATATAAACTGTGGACTTCAGTTAATAATAATGTATCAATATTGGCTCGTCAATTATAACAAACGCACCACATGTTGCAAGATGTTCACAATAAGGGATACATGAGGTAGTGATAAGAGGGTATGTGGAAACTCTCTATACCTTTTGTTGAATTTTTTCTGTAAACCTAAAACTGCTAAAAAATATAGTGTGTTAATGTCTTTAAAGGGATCCATACTATATTATTCCAGGTGAGTGACATTCTGGAAGAGGAAAAACCATAAAGAATAAAAGGATCAGTGGTTGCTGGAGGTTCCAAGGAATAAGGGAAGAAATGTACAGGTGGAACATGGGATTTTTCGAACAGCAAAACTAACCTGTATGATACGGTAATGATAGACACATGACCTATATATTTGTTAAAATCCAAAGAACTATACAACATAAAAAGTGAACCCGAATGTAAACTATAAATATTAGTTAATAATAATGTATCAATAGTGGTTCATCAATTGTAATAAACGTACTACACTAATGCAAGATGTTAATAGCGGGTATCTGAGAACTCTGTATTTCTTGCATAATTATTCTGTAAACCTAACACTGCTCTAAAAAAAATGAAGTCTAGTTTAAAAAGTTTAACTATATCAGGGAGCACATGTATTTGTTAAATCTGGTATATGTTCCAATTAAGAAACAGTTCAATGTACAAAGTTTGAGTAATAAGAGATAACACTTTAAGGAACAAAGAGCTGAAGCTAAAAAGGACAGTAAAAGAGGCAGAAAAACAGTTGGAACAGTGAGGTACTCTTGCAAATGTAGGTTATGTGTGATTATAATTTATCTCTTTTTCTTCCTTCTGCCCTAGGGCTCAAAGGCTGATATGCTGTTCTAGAAAAGCTACATAGCAACTTTTCTGTGACTACTTTGAAAATATTGATGTTATTCTCACTAGAGAGATGATGCAAAGTTTTAGAAAAGCCACAGAACTAGATGAGAGAAAAACAGATGTGAGTGCCTGGATCCTTTACAAGGGATCAAGGAAGGTCTAACTCTAAGAACTTCCACTTACATCATATTTTCATTTCTATGAGTTCTATTTGGTTCTATTTCAAATCTTCCTTTGTCAGACTCTCAAAAGCTCTGTTTATTTCTTTAAATATATTCCACAGACTTATTTTGCATTCTGAAATAGACCATTCCAAATTCTGCAGTCTACATGGAACTGATTCTATAGTGTGCTTTTTCTATTAAATCGTGCTCATGGTGTCTTATTTCCTTATGTGTTGGGGCTGGGGAGAGTTCTTTATTATGGATTCATGGTACTTAAATTTTATTTGTGGGAATTCATTAACGTCTAGATTTAAATTGTGTTCTTCCAGAGAGATTTCGCTTTCCTTCTACTAGGCACCAGGAGTACTGCCAACCTAAGACAACCAAATGTTCACCTTGGGTTTTTCGGGCCCTGCAAGTAATGTGAACTCAAACCCCAAACTACCTTCATACATGCTTATAGGTAGAAATTCTCACAAGAGACTCTTTTTTCCCATTCCACCCACAACCAAGGCAGAGAAAGTCATACATATATCTCCACCACTCCCTCCACAAAGCAGGTTTTTTCTCCTTCATCCACTCAGGTGTTAACCATTTGGTGTGCCAATAATATGTGGGATTTGACCTCTCACCCTGTCAGGCTCTGATTCCTGAGTACCCTACACATGGCCTGTTAAAACCCATGCTTTAGGCCTTTGGAAATCAACTATGAGGACAGATGCCTCTTCCAGTGGTTACTTAGCCCTCTTGATTCATATTGTCTTGTCATTTCTATCCTACCAGGAATTCTCTTACTTTTCTGCCCGCTCAGCCATGCTTTAAAACCCCTTTGATAGATATAGACAGATAGATGATAGATAGATAGATAGATAGATAGATAGATAGATAGATAGATAGATTTTTTTTTAACATTCTGGAATGAATAATTTTATTCATGCAAGCATAAATATAATTATCATAATAACATTCGGATTTATAGTCTTATTTTTTTCATTATTTCAGCATATTATGGGGGTACAAATGTTAAGGTTATGTATATTGCCCTTGCCTCACCTCCCCCCTCGAGTCAGAGCTTCAGGCGTGACCATCCCCCAGACAGTGCACATCACACTCATTAAGTATGTATATACCCATTTCCTCCTCCCCCGTCCCACCTGTCAGACACCTGATAAATGTTATTTCTATATGTCCACTTAGGTGTTGATCAGTTAATACCAATATGCTGGTGAGTACATGTGGTGCTTGTTTTTCCATTCCTGGGATATTTCACTTAGTAGTATGGGTTCCAGCTCTATCCAGGAAAACATAAGAAGTGCTATATCACCATTGTTTCTTATAGCTGAGTAGTACTCCATGCTATACATATACTACATTTAATTAATCCACTCATGTATTGATGGGCACTTGGGTTGTTTCCACAACTTTGCAATTGAGAAATGTGCTGCTATAAACATTTGAGTGCAGGTGTCTTATATGTAGAGTGTCATTTGTTCTTTTCGGTAGATGCCGAGTATGTGATTGCTGGATCAAATGGTAGATTCACTTGTATCGCCTTAAGGTATCTCCATATTGCTTTCCACAGAGGTTGAACTAGTTTGCAGTCCCTCCACTACATGTGGCTATCCAGTTTTCCCAGCACCATCCAGTGTGTTTAGGCTTGCTCTGCTAAGTGAGTTTCTCTAAACATCTAGTCTGCCATACAGCTAGAAATACTACTCTCCCATTCAAAGATTTGCACAGGGGCTGTAAATAGTATTACTATCCCATGTTAACAGGCAAATTAGAGGCTTAATTTTATCCTCCAAAATTGTCCTCCATAATTTTTAACTATGTATACATTCTACTTTTACCTCAATAAATACTATAATAGTTAAATGTGATTTGTGTGTATATTGCATATTATAATTTTTATAATACATATATAATTATACTTAATAATTATATTGCTTATTTCTTGAAGCATGTACATGTACTTGTTCCATATAATGTAACCACACCTATGGCACATGGCCTTCACCAATGAACTTTGAAAACTAATTCAGAAAACAAAAGATGAGTTATGCTAAAAACCTAACTAGCCTTATTACCTATTTCTGAATCCTCTACTCAACAATAAGACTTTAAGGAAAAACAAGTAATACCATAAAACAAAGTTGTCATCAGAATTTCCATTTTTAAGACGCCTTTCACGATATGGCACATTATCACTCAGAAACAGCACAATACCTACACCCTCTCTGACAATATCAAGTCTGCATTATTAGAATGCATGTGAAGAATAGTGATCTAGAAGCAAATATTCTTAATAATTTTAAAAATATTTTTATAATATAGGGAGGATACAAAGTATATTTATAACCCCTCATTTGTTCCAAAGTGAATTTGAAACTAAAATCTACTGATATATTTTATAAATGGATTAAAAATTATAGTTGAAACATAATAAGCTAATGAAAAAATATCCAATTATCCTTAAAATCTTGGTCCCAAAGTGCTCCAGCTAATTGTGTTTTCAATTTATTCTAAATTATATTGACATATTATACATAGCCAATAATTTTTAAAAGGTTACTGGCTCATTTATTCATTCCAGACTACTTCATGAATACTAGCTATGTACCTATAACTGTGCTATATGCTATTTCTCAATTATTAAACGTTAATATTCTGTTTGCAAGGAGTTTTGTCAAGATTCCTGCATCAAATGATGTAGAAATATACATGCTAATGAAAATTTTATGTTCTACTCAAATGTTTAAAAAGGTGCCTATGATTAAGAGAACAGATTTTTTAAGTTTATCTGTTAATGTACAAATCTCACTCTCAGAATTTCATAACCAAATACTTTGCATTATTATTGCACACACCTGCCATCACCTATAGAAGGAAGAACAAAAGTACATGCTATAAAAATGCCAATTTTACATGGCAATGTTATTTTATCTGTCTTTCTAAAGGCTGTTACAAATGAAAAAAAGATTAAAATAATTTTTACAGGTCTAAACAATGACACCAAAGAGAGAGTATAACTATTTTTCCAATTCAGGCCTTAGTCAATGTATGAATATCAAAGCGCACTAGTTGGTCTTCCTGTTTAACCACAAACATGTCAGGTTTGTTTTGTTGACTTTGGAAAGCATGTATATCCGGTTGGTAACAGCTCAAAGGTTTTAGAATGAAGCCTACATTTGTGGGTGGCCACAAATCTTAGCTGAAAATTGGCTCAACTATACAGATGTGACTTAGAAAGGCTGGATTTATTGAAACGTTCACAGATTGAGGTGTCAGAAAAATTGGGCTTCTGATGATTTTTGAAAATCATTTAGCTGTTCAAGACTTTGGTTTCTAAACCATGGAATTGGCCCACATGACCTCTAAGCCCCTTCAGCTCTCACATTCTAGAATTCTGATTCTATAGCATGTTTAACAATTGAAGGTAAACCCTCCATCCATTCTCTGAGCAGAAGAAATTCTCCAGTCTTCTGACTGGGGTCCATATATTCTTATACCAGGTTAAATGACAGGAGCATGTCGAAATAAGAATCAGAATGCAAGGATTTAACATCCTTTGTGAGCCACATTCTTATCTCCAATGCTCAGCAACAGGGCTTAGAGTGCTAAACATTTTGATGCAATAATGACAATACAGTTCACCAAACAAGGCCAAGCTCAGTGGTTTCCAGGAAACTGAAAAGGGAAAGAATGTGGATAGAAATAGCAGAGACTTCAAATAATAAAAAGAAAATGAATGAAGTTCAAACTGAGAATCAAAAGAGACACAATAAAGACCTGAAAAGTGTGATCAATGCATTTGGAATGACTGGAACCGGGAAAAGATTCTCCTAACAATACTAACAAAACAACTTTGAGTATGTTTTTTTCATTAAGGGGATCAATGGGATAAAATTAAGTTGATGATTCTTTTTTTAAAAATACGAAAACTAAAATTTGGTTCTTTTGATTTGTAAAAAGTAGAATTATTATGCAACTTCATGAAAGGTAATTTTACCTAACCCTAGGAGTTAAAAATGTTTCTAGGCCGGGCGCTGTGGCTCACGCCTGTAATCCTAGCTCTTGGGAGGCCGAGGCGGGTGGATTGCTCAAGGTCAGGAGTTCAAAACCAGCCTGAGCAAGAGCGAGACCCCGTCTCTACTATAAACAGAAAGAAATTAATTGGCCAACTGATATATATATATATAAAAAATTAGCTGGGCATAGTGGCGCATGCCTGTAGTCCCAGCTACTCGGGAGGCTGAGGCAGAAGGATCACTCGAGCCCAGGAGTTTGAGGTTGCTGTGAGCTAGGCTGACGCCATGGCACTCACTCTAGCCTGGACATCAAAGTGAGACTCTGTCTCAAAAAAAAAAAAAAAAAAAAAAAAAAATGTTTCTTAGTTTTTAAAAAATCCTATCATCACAGTGGAACGCTCAATACCTCAGAAAAATTACACAAAATGTGAATTATTGTTACTATTTAAATTACTCAAAAAGCTCAACATTATGTTAATGGGTTAAAATATCTATAAACAAAACAATGAAATAATAAGATTATCCCTTTCTTTAGTAACAAAAGCAATTTAATAGAAAGTAGAAAATAATCTAATAAAGCTAAGCTATTAGCACATATTCTATTTCCCCTCAGATTTTTTTAGCATACATATACTAATATAATAATGTACATACATATATTACACAGTTATAGTTAATAAAATCTATCTTGAATTTTTAGTTTTATGTTTCATATCATGCATTTCCAATTAAAGTCCTATGTTGATAAAGTCCATGTATTTGTTATTTGTATCATCTTACTATAGTATTAAATCAGTTAAAACTGTATAAGTTGCTTTGGCATTCCCTTAAGTGACAGCATTTAAGTTGTTTCCTGTTTTGGTTTTCCTTGGGCATTATTACTTTGAAAATATTCCTAAAAGTGTAATTATACAGGTCAAAAATATAAATAATGTTATGGCTGTTGTTATATCTATTAACCAATTGCTTTCCAGGGGAAAAAATAACCAATTTTAAAAGCTACTAACAATGTTCAAATAAATATTATTGTTCCCACCTCCATTCCCCTACCCCCAACTAACCTGTAATTATATCACATTTGTCGTTATTTCCACTGGTCTGACAAGTGTATATAGTGCCTGTTTAAATATGAATTTCAATTGCTGGTAAGGCTGAACATTATTCCTTGTGATGACTCACTCTGTTTTTCTACATGTATAAAGACCACTTACTGAGAGACAATAAGATCTTTTGTATACATCAATGCTTTCCACATTTTTAAATACTAATCTTTTCTGTTTATAAATACAACACATGTATATTACAGAAAGTCTGGGATACGGAAAAAAGCACAAAAATAATATAAAAATCACTCATACTCCCAACACACTTTTCCCTTTAAGTAGTGTGTGTTATAGAAAGTAAATCTCCTTTCTTCACCTGCCCATCCATCCCCAACCCCACTAAAAGTAACCACATTATCTGGTATTGTTCCAGGATTTTCTGTGACTCTTTTTATAAAAATGGAATCACACTAATCATTTTCTTCTATAACAGACCCTTTTGCTTTAATATTCTATCGCAGACATCTTTTCTTTTGATAGCTGTATGGTATTCTATTTTATGTATGTACAATAAGTTATGAAACCAGGTCAAAGAGTGGCAAAGGGGTCCCAGCTGATATCTGGGGTACATATATTACATTTATTTCTTTTTTTCCAGTTATGGTCTCATAGGTACCTAACACCAGTCCCCTTGCCCCCTTCATCTGCCATTGCAACCACCCAACCTCTCCTCACCCCTGCCTCAACTCACCACTCCCTATCACCAGCTTTAGTGAACTGCTGAGGACTGTCAGAAAAGCCTCCAAGCCTTGCTACCTGGCTCCATTTCACAACGGGGTTTCCAACCTCAGCTGGGCTACCTTCATTGTTCGCCAGTGCTTTTTTTCTCATCCTCGCAGGATCTATGCCACTCCTTTCCTACCCTTCTTCAATATCTGCTCTACCCTCTCACTCTGACCATATGGCCTGATCGCTAATTGACAGAGCAAGTAAAGAACAAGCATTTTCACCTTCTCTTCATCTCTAAACCTGCCTTTCTTGGTCCACTTTTCCTTTCTTTCATACTGAGTCAGGAAAAGGGCATCTTGGTTCTTCTCCAAGGCTTACCCTTCCATCTTTAATTCTGTCCTCTATACTATATCTTCCCCTTCCTTATCCTAGAAACAAGCTTATGTAAATTCCATATTTATAATAACTAACAATTCCACACATGCTGCTTCTAGCAGCCATGGCTCTTCCTCTACTTTTGAAGCTGCTTTTCAGGGCCCCTCTATGCCTGCTGAATTGCATATTAAATTTGAGCTTCAATCTAATTTCATTCTGTCTACTTCCCCTTGCTCCTAATGGCTAAATCCATTGATACCAACAATACTACCACCACCTATAAACTAAATCAAATCCCACTTTCTTAACCAATCTTAACCAAGAAAAGCAGCCTCAGCCTACTACTATCTGAAATACAGAATTAAGTTACTTTTCCAGCCTTTACTGACAAATCAATCCTAGAATCCAGGTGTCTCCAGTAATGCCCACCCCTTTGGCTCCTATATTGCCCTTAGCTCACTCCTTCTCCCTTCCCTCTCTAAGACCAAATATGGACATGATCCTTAAATCACCAATGGCCACCGATTACCTCTTTTACCCAAACCAGTCATCTTGAAAGGATGCTCCATTGCAGGAGGAAGAATAAGACAAAACTGCAAAATTAGCCATTTCCAGAAGCTATCATTCAGAAACCATACTCTCTGATTGGTACACAATGGACTAATTTTTATATATAAAAGACAATCTCACATTCTCCTAAAAAGTGTTACTAAATTCCCAAAAGTAACTTTTTTTTTATTTCAGCATATTATGGGGGTACAAATGTTAAGGTTACAAAAGTAGCTTTTAATAGAAGATTTAAGCCAATTCATACCAAATATTTAGGAAACTCCTTAACTGACTTTTAGATACCCTATGTTATAAATAACATCATTTCTCATCAAAAATAAGTATGTCAAGAATCACAGGCAAAACAACAAAGGTCATCTAGCATGACTCCCTTGATCTCAAAGCTGTAATGAAACCAAGTCTCTGAGAAACTAAGTGATTTATTCAAGGCCACAGAGCAGGCTGTTGATAAAACTAAAACAAGGACTCGGACCTCTAGATTTCCAATCCAAAAAATACCTAGTTGTCTATGAGGTACAGTAAGTGTGACAGAGTTTGAAATGAACACAGCATCATCCCTTAAAAAGTCACATGGTACACAATATGACTCCATAGAATATTATAAAACACTAAGGAATTAAAACATAAAAATAATACAGATCAACATTCATGTACCTTTGTTGTTCAGATAACAGCCTCTGAAAGTGTTGACTTAAAACACAAAATTGTAGCCGGGCGCGGTGGCTCACGCCTGTAATCCTAGCACTCTGGGAGGCTGAGGCGGGCGGATTGCTTGAGGTCAGGAGTTCGAAACCAGCCTGAGCAAGAGCGAGACCCCGTCTCTACTATAAATAGAAAGAAATTAATTGGCCAACTAATGTATATATATATAAAATTAGCCAGGCATGGTGGTGCATGCCTGTAGTCCCAGCTACTCGGGAGGCTGAGGCAGCAGGATTGCTTGAGCCCAGGAGTTTGAGGTTGCTGTGAGCTAGGCTGACGCCACGGCACTCACTCTAGCCTGGGCAACAAGCGAGACTCTGTCTCAAAAAAAAAAAAAAAACTTATATGGGGAGCCCAAACATTTTATTCATGAATATTACTCGTTATAACAAATTTATCATATTTTAACTAACGAAAAACAGTATTAACCATGAAAAGAAAAGCAAATAATAATAATTACCAGAAAGGCAGTATTGCATAGTTGCTAAAGGCTAACCATTTCAATCCTGTCCTCCACTTACTGTGTCACCTTGAGAAAGTTATTCAATCTCCCTTTGCCTCCATTTCTTCAGCTGTAAAACAAGGATTGTGGTATATACCTCACAGAGTGGTTCTGAAGACTAGATAATCTGTATTTGTAAAGTACTTGGAACAGTGCCGGACACATAGTTGGTATTCAGTAATTGCTCTTCTCCATTCACATATTTTCTTTTCCACTTAGAGAACAACCAACTCTTTTCCACTTAAATAAAAACCAACTCTTGATACTTATATCCCTGTGAGTGTAGCTAAACTTCATAAGGCACTAGAATCATATATACGATTTCTTACAGGACCCAGGTTTTGAACCAAAAATTAAATAATGGTAGAGACATGGTAGAAAAGAACCAATACATGTCCCAGACATGTGATAAATGTTCAGTGTCACAGTCTGTTTGGGATGCTGTAACAAAATACTATAGAATCAGCAGCTTATAAATAACAGAAATGTATTTTTCACAGTTCTGGAAGCTGGGAAGTCCAAGATAAAAGAGCTGGAAGATTCAGTATCTGGTAAGAACCTGTTTCCTGGTTCATAGATGGTGCCTTCTCACTGTGTCCTCACATAGTAAAAGGGGTGAATGAAGGCCGGGAACGGTGGCTCGCACCTGTAATCCTAGCACTCTGGGAGGCTGAGGTGGGTGGATCGTTTGAGCTCAGGAGTTCAAGACCAGCCTGAGCAAGAGTGAGACCCTGTCTATACTAAAAATAGAAAGAAACTAGCTGGACAACTAAAAATATATAGAAAAATTTAGCTGGGCGTGGTGGCACACGTCTGTAGTCCCAGCTACTCGGGAGGCTGAGGCAGGAGGATTGCTTGAGCCCAGAAGTTTGAGGTTGGTGTGAGCCAGACTGACGCCACAGCACTCTTACCCAGGCAACACAGTGAGACTCTGTCTCAAAAAAAGGGGGGGGGGTGGTGAATGAGTTCCCTTCGGCCTATTTTATAAGGCACTAATTCCACTCATGTACACTCTACCTGAATGACTTAATCACCTCCCATGAGATCCCACATCCTAATACCATCAGCTCAGGGCTTAGAATTTCAACATGAATTTTGGGGGAACACAAACATCCAGACTATAGCAGTCAGAAATCCAGATAATGAGTTATAGAGACGGACAGGCTTTGCTTGCCTTGGATTGGCAGGCGTGGGGTGAGAGGAAGTGCCAATAGTTTTCAAAACCTTCAAACTACAGATATTTTATCACATCAAGTATGCATTATCCCATCACTACCACAGCTACTGGCCAAGAGCCATGTATACTTCCTTACCATTCCTACTTCTACATCTTCTCCATATCAACACAGTCAGGGTGAGGGGAAATCCCTTAGAAAACAGAAATAGAGGTCACCCTGAAATATAATTCCCATAAAATTTGCCATAAGCAAACAAAACTGAGCTACAAAGAGAAGCACCACGTATTTATCCCTTTTGGATCTGCTGCCTGACTCTCCCATCAGATGGCCCTGGGTCTCTGTTAGGCTCTGAGTCAGTGCTGTCGTCCTTGGCCAGCAAGAGGTGAGAGCACTTCAGCTGGACACAGTCACGAGGTGTGAAGACTCAGAGGATTGTCGCACACCCTTGGTGGCTCTAAGGAGGTCATATCTTAATCAAAATCACTCACCTGATGTTTACGCATGGAGCAGCATATAAAATGGAATAATAAGAGAACAGAGTGACTGGATTCAAGAAATCCCACAAAGGCCAGATTATAAGCAGCTAGTCACAAGGTGATAATGCTGAGAGAAGGGTGATAAAAGTGGGGATAAAAAAAACATTTTGAAAGAGTCATGAGAGATCCTGGCAGGATACAGCAGCACATTAGCCATATTGGTCAAAACTTAATGGGGCTTGAAGATCACCCAAGATGACAGGATTTAGAAGGGGACAGAAAGTGGTTACTGCTGGCAATTATAGCAAGACCAGCCCTGCAAGAGAGAAGTAGGTACAATCATAAGCTCAGCCTTGTCTTGTTTAATTTTAGGTAAAATCCAAGCAACCAGTTAAAAACATGTTATCAGTAGCTGGAAAATCATAATATTATAGAGCATTTCTAACAAGTTCAGAGTATCAACCAGTTCACTATTTAGGTGATTTAAGAGCTTTCTCTCATCAGTAATGATGTCTTTAAATGATGAGCAAGAAAAACATGAAGTAGGCTGAAGAACGATTTAGAATGTATTAAAAGTAATTAATGATTAATAATATATTATTAATCATAAACAAAAAGTAGGAGTATTTAAGCTATAAGTTTAAAACATAAGAATAGCTTTATGAAGAAATACCAAACTTTTTCACGCACACACACACACAAAATCTGTGTCACTGTCAGACACAGACACAGATTATTAGGATTATGGATCATTATTCTGACTCCAGATAGTATGTTTTTTATGTTATATAAATTACTTAAATTAAGAATAATATTACTTTAAGTCTTATGAATCATATTTTTAACTGTTAGTCATACTCTTACTGACAAATTTACATGCTGATTTAACTAACACCTAATAACAGTCATAAAATAGTCAAAAGGAGACTGAAACCTTTTTTGGCACAATTGTTGGTTCCGATTAAACTATAAATAAAAAGGACTTACCACATTTTCCTTCATCTTTCTCAGCTTTTCATCTATCTCTCTCAGCCGATTTTGCTGATGCCGTTGCTCTTTGGTGTTCCTAAGTACCTTTTCTCCTGGAGTTATTTCCACGGTTCTTTCATCATCAAGTTCGGGCTCCTAATTTAAAAAAAAAAAAAGTTCACTAATGGGCTGGAAATGAGCTTCACATACCACTCCAAAGCAACAGAGCCTTGAGAGTCAGCTTTGCTTCTCAAACAATATTTCTTCCCTTCAAAACAATATTTGTATCTCCTTAAAATCTTCCTATTTGAGGAGGTAAAGGTCCAACTGCACATAAAATAGGTAGGAAAATGAACTCAACTTCTACAATCATCTAGAAAGCAGGAAGATACAATGAAAAGAGCCCTAGCCAGGAAAGTGGGACCTGGCACTCTGATACTTATCAGCTTGAGATCCTGGACCTTTCTCTGGACTTCAAGTTCATCATACACAAAAAAAATAAGAAAAAAATGCTGCCCATCTATGTCATTAGAGGCAGCTGTGTAATAATGGGAAGAAAGCTGGACTTGACAACGGGAGCTTTGAATCTTGGCTCTACCTGGTACTATGATGACCTTAGGGAAATCAATTAACCCCTCTGAGCTTCAGTTTCATCATCTACAAAATGACAATAATAATATATTTAGGCTAAAAGTCATCACAGCACATAGTAGACATGCAACAAATCTTAGTACCGAACACATATGAGCAGAATATATTCTTTGGAAAGAATAAGAATTATGGAATGAAAATGCTTCATTATTATCTGTAGTATTTTTATTGACAGAATTATGTTCTTCCAAATTGAATGTTTTTTTCTAGGTATTAAAAATAGGCATATCTTGACAGTAAGTGGACCTATATCCAAAACTAAACTTCCTTTCTTCTCTCCCACAGATCTACTCTGTGTTGCCATGTAGGTAACCAGCAGGAATGACATTTTTGAAGTTGCTGACACCAGAATCCTCCTACTCCCTCACTCCTCACATACCATTGGTCACCAGAAATATTCACCATTCCAGTTGCTAATACACTCAAGGTGCTTCTTTCTTTCTCACTGCCTTAGTTCAGACCTCCTCATCATTCACCAGTAGTTTTCAAACTCCAGTGTGCTTCAGAATCACCTAAAGAACCTGTGCAAAATTGCAAACGTCCAGCCTCCACCCAGGAGATTCTGATTCAAAAGGTGAGAGATAAGGTAAGGACTGACAACCTGAAGCACAACTACTTGAGAATTTGAGAGCTACTGACTTAAGTTACTGCTGGAGCCTTCTAACTGATCTCCACGCTACCAGTTCACTCCATCCTTTGCAGAGAAACCACAGAACATGATGCAAAGTCTTCATAGTCTAGGCCCTGCTTATTTCTTCAGTCTTAACTCCCACTGCTTGAGTCTCAGACTCAAAACCTCAGCAATATTCACTGCTGCTCGTTCCCCACCACTCCATGCCTCCACCTTCCAACTCCTTGTGGAGACTTTAGCCATTTTGAGCCCAGCTCATACATATCTCCACTATAAAATATTCCCTGACATACCCAGGAAGGACAAATTATTCTCTCAGCCATGCCACATGTTCCTTGATTGTACTTACCACACCGTCACTGCCTACACAGTGACATGACTGACCCTATTCTGTATCTCAATGCAAACTATAATCCTGAAGCTGGAAAACACCACCCAATAGATTGTAATTTTGGTTCTCAGAACTTTGATCACAACTAATGTTTGACTGACCTAGTAATAAGTTTCAACAAAATTCACACTGTATATAATTCCAATGAGCCAACTATCAAAGAGTGCATCAATTTCAAGAAGTGATTCTTTGACATTTTCCTTCACTCCTCACTTCTGATAGCTTTCAATCTCTAGAAGCATCCAGAGGCTGAATTATTATCAGAAATATTAAGGAGGAATAGTATCAGAAATATTAAGAGGTAAGAATGAAGGCTAATGTTAGGGAGGAGTTTGGAAAAAACAGTATCAAGGTCTCTTTGCAACTCTAAGCATCCAGCATTTATGAACTTCTATGAAGATATATCTGCTAAGAAGTAGAATACACCATGCTCTGAAAAATGCCCAAATTGGATTTCATTTTTAAATAAAAATCATTTTTAAAAAAAGAAAAAAGTTTATCATTTTAATAATCTACAACTATGATTTTTAAAAACCTAGAGGCAGGTAAAGAGAAGACACAGAAAGAAAAAAATTATAAATTGGACTTAATATTTTTAAATTTTGCTTATCCAAAGCCGCCATTAAGAAAATATACAAGCCAAAGATGGAAAGAAAATGTTTCCAACACACAAGTCTGACAAAGGACTTGTATGTAGAATATATAAGGAACTCCTACAACTCAGTAATAAAAATAATAAAATAGACAATAATAATAAAACGGATAATCAAATTACATAAAGACTTAAACAGATACTTCATAGAAGCAGCTGTGTGAATTTACAAATAAACAAATGAAAATGATCTCAAGACCATTAGTCATTAGGAAAGTGCAAATTAAAACTACAATGAGATATCACTACGCAGCCACCAGAATGGCTCAGATAAAAGTTTATTGACACCAAATGTTGGAGAGGTGTGAAACAAAGGGAACTCTCATATGTTGTTGGTAGGAGTACATAATGGTATAACCACTTTGAAAAACCACTTGGCAATTTCTTAAAAAGTTAAACTTTTGTCTATCCTATGACACAGAAATTCCACTCCTGTAAATTTATCAAAGAGGAATTAAAATACATGACTCAAGCTTTGGACACAAATGTCCACAGCACCCAAAATTGAAAACAGTCTAGGAGTCCATCAATGGGAGAATGATGAACTATGGTGAGGACCCAGCACAAACTGAGACAATCGGAATTTTTCTCTTTTTTTTTTTTTGAGACCGAGTCTCGCTTTGTTGCCCAGGCTAGAGTGAGTGCCATGGCGTCAGCCTCGCTCACAGCAACCTCAAACCCCTGGGCTCAAGCGATCCTACTGCCTCAGCCTCTCCAGTAGCTGGGACTACAGGCATGCGCCACCATGCCCAGCTAATTTTTTGTATGTATATTTTTAGTTGGACAATTACTTTTTCTTCCTATTTTTGGTAGAGACGGCGTCTCGCTCAGGCTGGCTTCGAACTCCTGACCTCGAGCGATCTGCCCACCTCAGCCTCCTAGAGTGCTAGGATTACAGGCGTGAGCCACCCTGCCCAGGCCAGAGTTTTTCTCTTTGATCTCTGTCTCCTGGTTAGGTCCAGGGGTGGGGAACCTATGGCCTCCGAGCCACATGTGGCCTCCAGGATCCTAAAATGTGGCCTTTTGACTGAATCCAAATTTTACAGAACAAATATCAGGAGACTGGAAGGCAGAAGGAGTGAAAGCTTGGGTTACTTTCCCCTTCACCTCCCTGCTTTGGCACCACAGTTTTGGGCGCAATGTGTCCCTGAGGTGTGCAGGGTTTTCTTAGATTCAACTAAATATTGACGCTCAAAGACTAACAGAGGCCAGATTTCGAGCCCTTCTACTTAGAAGGATATAGGACAGAAAACACAGCAGAGCAATATCAGGTATCCATTTCCAATGGGAGTGTTTACGACAGTCCATGTCATAACAATAGAAGTTCAAAGGGGCAAGGATGCTATATCATCTTTAAATCCTCATATCCCCAGAAACCATTATCTCTCAAAACCATGACCCCATAGGCACAGAGTCCAGGAACCTGGCAAGGGACATGCCCAGCCCAAGAATCACTGCACTTAGAAATGCCCAAAATATGGCTTTCTCATCAGGTCAAATCATTTTTAGCATAAGGAAAGTTGCCTCCTAACATAGTTGGCACTCCAACTTCTATAAGCTCGCCAGGGAAACAGAGCTAGGGAATTAACTGCGGCACAAATTCTCATGCTGAAGGAGGGCAGGGCTGGTTAACTTCTTGCCCACGCTCTCTATTATTACAGCTTCAGATGGCCAGTTTTGCCACCATGACTCCACATCTCACCCAGAGCCTGTAACACTTTTCTTCCCCTTGTTCAATGTTGCTAGTTTCTAGGTATCCCTGTACCCCTTGGTAGCTCCTTTAAATCTATAAAAAATACTCCCTTCACTTAATTATCTTCAAAAGCCAAGCCAGGTGTTCCTTTTGCTTCTTGTCCAGAACTGTGACTGGTATACCATTTATGTGTCTGTCTGTGTGTGTGTTTAGAGAACAGATTGGAAGGAAATTTAACAATGATTAACTCGATTATTTTATCTTTTTCCTTATACTTATTTTGTAGGTCCTGAATTTCCTACAATAAACATGAATCAATTTAATAAGCATAAAAGCCATATTTTGCTTTTAAGAAAATATTCTATCAAGGCAATTTTTGTTTTGCTCTGACAATGTGACTCTCCATACCCAAGAGGTATAGATGGGCCCAAAGATTAGATTTTAGCTTCAGTTCAACTGGTATAATCAGCTGTGTACTTGAGAGGAAGTTGCCTCCTCTTTCTGGGTCTCCATATCTTCTGAGAAAGTTTCTTCCACCTCTAATAGCTTCCACCTCTACAGTTAGGCCCAAAGCATACATAATATCTTTCTTCGGTCATGGTCTCTGATATCATAATGGTATAGTTAAAATATTCAAAGAATATCATGTGATGAAAGCAAAAGCCAAGAGAGAACCAGAAAATGTGGCCATTGAGGCTGGCAAAACCCTCCAGTTGCATATTCAAAAAGCTCTGTGGTGCCAGGAGAGGTTCTTTTCTCACAACAAAGAGCCAACCAGTACTGTCTATTTTCATGATCATTAGGAAATATTTTGATTTCCTATAGTAGAAATGGTTAAGCAGATTCTCTGACCAATATATCATTTCTGTGTTTCTAACTCATACAAGAATGCTTTTATGGAGCATTCAGGAAAAGCTCTCTTCAAAACACACAATGTCTAAGGAAGCCACAAGAAAAGAGCTGTCCCTGAGTTCAATAGATATTTGTTGATTTGACTAATTGATTGCCAAGGGATTTTTGAGTTCATCCTTAGAAAAATATCTGTGGTGTTGACTGAGCCAACAGGGGTCTTTGAAGCTAAATAAACTCCTTTGCAAAAGTCAAACACAAAGGAAATTACCCACAGCTTCCTAAGTTATCTGATATGCAAATAAGGCATGCATTAAGGGCTGGAAAAATACAGGCCTATCTAAATAAAGCCAGTTTGTGCTGCGTTTTCAAGCTAATGCTATACGTTTCCATAGGCTACTGCAATTTCCTATCATTAGACAGATCATTTGCCTGACAGTACCAAAAGTAGGGGAAAAAAATCTTTCAGGCAAAAATTGGTTTTATCACCTTGGAATACTACCATGAAATAAAAGAAACCTTGACCACATTGAAAGCTTAACATAGAAAAACAAAGAAATATAAACTTCAAAGTAATCTATAAAACATAGGTGGCGAGAACAATTTCCCTGATTAACTGTGAATGTCTGGCAGGTTGGCATTGGAAACAAGAACCTCTGAAGTAACTTCTTAATTATTCCTCACTTCAGAAATCCATGCCCTTGTGGCACACTTCTATAGGCTTTGGATATGAGCAGATGATCAATAAGATTTCTGTGCCTATGGCTAGCACACATTTAAAATTCCTAGATTTCTGCCCTCAATCAGTCTATTAAGCACATTTGAGATGGAGTGGCCTCCATAGCCATTACTGGAACTGTGCAAATCTTTGAATCAATAATAAAACATCTTTCAGGATTACATGTCCAATAATAGTCAATATGTTCTCAATTTTAACTAATATTGAGACAGAAAGAGACCAAAAAAAGTTAATTGTTGCCATCAGCAATAACAGTGTGATCTTGGCAAGAAAAGAGATAAATACAACTACAATTTTCCTCAATCAAATGTTTGTTAATATTTTGTTGATCTTACAAATTGTGTACAACTAAATCAATATTTTAAGAACAAAAAAATAAATCAAATTAAGGAAGATCTTTATATTCAATTAAATGAGTTGGTTTAAGAACAAAGAAATACCTCTTGTCAATGACAGCCATTTCTAAAGACCTTCTCCCAACCAGAAAAAAAAAAAAAACAAAAAAAAAAACTAAGCATGAACTGGAATTCTAGATTTAGTAACACTGATTGCATGAGAGATGAATAAACTACGCTTTTATACAAGAGCCAAACTGAATAGAATTTATTATTGAATCCAGTTGCTAAGGATTTTAAAAAGTGATTGCTTACATAACTCCTCTATCTTAGATATTTCTGGATTATGCTGGAATCTAATACATTTACAAATAAGAAATACAGTAACTAAATTATGGAACATCACTCAATTTTATGGTGGGATTTACAATGAGTGGAAAGAACTAACTGATTTGTTGGAGGGTTAGGAGGTGAATACAGAAAGGTATGCACAGTTAAACCACAGATTTTAAGAAAAAAACTGTTTCAATTAGTTCTTTTTTGCTAAGATGAAATGAAAATAAAAAGCAGATGTAAAAACTACAACCACATGACATTATTCACATTACAGAAATAGCAGTAATATGCCATTCTTTCTTTCGAATGTGACCACATGCTTTGTTTTACACAAAGGAAATCAGATATGTAAAAGCCAAATGCTGCTTTTAAAACATTGCCATAAAGTTAAGTGCTGGGCCAGGGCACCTATTTGAGAACATTGCAACCAGCAAGCTCAGAAGGAAAAGGAGATTTCTTACCTGCCCTTTCGCTATGACCAACACTTCCTTAATCTCTGAGCCACATTTCCAGAGTCCCTCAGACTATTCTGAGGCAGCCACATGTATAATCTTAAATCTATGTGCCTACCAATTTAGTACCTTATAATTACCATAGACAGGTAAGTCAGAAAGCCTGTGTATTTCAACTTGTTCAGGAAACTGTTTTCTTGACAGAAAGGAGAGGAGAGGAGAGGAGAGGAGAGGAGAGGAGAGAGGAGAGGAAAGGAGAAAGGAGAGGAGAGTAGGAGGGGAGGGGAGGGGAGAGGAGAGGAGGGGGAGAAGAAGGGAGAGGGGGAGGGGAGAGGAGGGGAGGGGAGAGGAGGGGAAGAAATCTTCAAAGAAATTTTTTAAATATCCCTTCATCAAATAACATTTTCTTTTTTTGTGCTCCCATAGAATACACTTTCTGTACTTTTCATAAGATCAGTGCCCATCCTGTGGTTCTTCCTGTTGCATTGTATAGTCACTCCACAACTTGTTCCATCTTTCCATCATATCCAACAGTATCCTACAAGCTCCTTGAGGCCAGACACGAAGCCTCATACCAGTCTGGATACTCGGCATTAGCCACCACAGCATCTCCTATGATGTAAGTAGGGCCTCAAAAATGTACCAATGGCCTGTGCAGGGGCTGGACAAGTAACATGAACGAATGAAGTGAGCCTCACTGCCTGCCATACCACATGGAGCAGTGGATACTGCAGCAAACAAGAGACTGTGCCCCACAGAAAGAGCAGCTGCTACTCAGCTCAATCCAGTAGTTGCCAAGGAAGGATTCAGGTCTAATGTTGCCATATTTTATAATTTTTCAAGAGAGAAACTAGAAATCTGGATTTTTATATGAGTCCATCTAATTTTTAAATGTTGGCCTAAAAAAAATTTTTAAACCCTTTGTGGGCTAAAGGAAACCCATCTGGGAGCTTAATTTGACCACAGGCCACCAGTTTGCAGCCTCGTGGTGTATAGCAGCAGTCTTGCCCTGTGTCTCTGACCCCTCTGCCCTCTTCACTGGCTCCTTTTCCTCCTCCTGTCCCTCACTTACGGAAATGGACTTTCTGGATATTCCCTGGATGTGCTCTCTCTCTCTGCTCTGAACCCCCACAGCACTTTAATTATAGCCTTCTGCAGCACTTACCTATGTTGTCTTGTACCACAGTTATCGAGTATACTCAATGCCTCCCATAGGAAATAAGTTCCCTAAATCAATTATTATTATTATTATTATTATATCATCATTGGTCAAGTCTGTGTCAGACACTGTGCTAAACCCTTTATGTGTACTATTATTACTCAGCTATTCTTTATAAGTATCCTAAAGAATATTATTACTATTTTATAAATGAGGAAACTGAGGTTTAAAGAGCTTCTAATTCATGCCCAAGTTCACAGAACTCGAAAATGTTAGAGCCAAAACTTGAAGTGAGGCATTTTCACTCTAAATTATTATATTTGCCTGACTCATCTTTAAGTTCCATACAATCCTTACATGCAGTGAGTACTCAACTAGTATTCGTTGAATTGATTGTTTAAAAACAGAAATTTATATTCCACTTAAAAGACATGCTTTCTTAAGAATCATAGAGAAGAATTACTTAAGAAGGTTTGCAGGCGAGTTAAAAATAAAAATAAAATGAACATGCCATATGAATATCTGTGGTTCAGCAATAGATGGGAGTCTATTCACCAACTAAATAGATACACAGGGTTTATCCAAGATACAGTGTATTTATTCAAAAAGAGTTTGAATCCAAAAATAATATGCATAAAATAATTTGCCATGTTATCATTTCTGCTTTGAAAATTCAATGTGCAATGCTGGTTTTAGTTAGAAATGAGGAAATTCCAAGAGGAAATTGAAAAAAGCTCAAAAGATATTCTTTTCTGCATGCAAGAAGCATCAATTATTTCTTTTCAACAACTATGTTGTTACATTTCTGTTTCTGCATCCAATGGGAGTCCCAAAATGCAGTTTTCTCTTTTCTTTCTAAATATATGTTGTTTCATATAAAAATACATAATCTAAGTATGTAACAAAAATGTAATGTACTGATTTTTCCTTTCATTATTTTTAAATAGCTAATCTGAACCATAAATGTGAACTCTGAAAATGCTATTTAGATGATGACGATGATAGAATCTGACCATAGTCACGTTATATTTGAAGTCCTAATGGCTAAACAAATCTCTAAATTCTCAGTTTCTTTCAAGAATAATATTTGACAGCCATGAAAAAGACATTTTCTATCTTTAAGACCATTGTTCAGCTTTGAGATTTCAGATACTCTTGAAATCTAACAACAACCAAAAGATTAGCTGAAACATGAAAATAACGAAGAATATCTCCAAATAATTTATTACCCCATCTAGGATTCCTCCTTTTAAGAAATGGAACCCAGTAACATAAGCTTATGTTTATAAACATAGCTTATGTTTATAAACGAAGCTTATGTTTATAAACATAAACTAGCCTAACTCATGTCAAAGTCCTGGGGTACATTTAGGTAGGGAAAAGGATTCCAGTTCTTTTTGTTTCCCAAGAACTCTGATCCCAATGCAGAATTTATATTAATGGTGGGAACACTACCACCACTACTGCTGTCTAAAGGGATCATAAGCAGCTATGCCTGTCTCTTAGAAACATAACTGAAAGAAGCTGAGAGCTTAGCCTCCATAAAGGATTTGACAAAGAGTCATCACACTTTCTTTGGAACATCTTGATACTATTCCTTTACCCTGAGATAGTTTCAAATGCCCTAAACCAACATCCCTAACTTTCAATTGATAGCTTGGAGAAAGAACTCACTATAAAGCAGAAGTATTACCTATAGGCTACTGATATTTAAATCTTTTGATGCACCAAGAAAATCACAGCTATCTACAATTATACAGAAAATGATTCAGCAAAACTTTTACAAAGCTGGTAGAGGGTTAGCAGAATTATAAAAGAGTAGTCTCTTCAGTCTACCACCTAATGCCAAACTAGATCCCATGAAGTACTGAAATATAGGAACAGCGGGGAGAAGTTTTCTTTTCCAAAGCTGGTACTACTCTATTACTCTATACCCTCTACCAGCTTTGTAAAAGAATATTTGAGGGAACTATTGAGAGAAGAAATACATTCCTTTCAAAACTCTCACAGGAAAGGAGTCATCAACATCATGTGCTTCATGGCTTGATGTTAAATTAAAGGAACTAGAAGAATACAGCAGAGTAAGGAGTTGCTACCATTGTTAATACCTAGTACCAGAGGAACAAAGAAAAATAAGGCTCTCGAAGAACTCATAAGTGCTGTATCAATTTTCTTCCCTCTCATCTCTCCTGATCATGATCAAGAATCAGCTTAAATTATGGAGATATAATAATATTAAGATAAATATTTCCTCAGTGACCGCATCCCAGAAAATTACCAAATGAAAGAAAAATGAGTAGAAAGTGGAACTAACCAAAGGAAAATATACCCTTTTATAGCAACTATAATTACTGCAGTTGTAGGCATGTAAAAAGCGATTGATAAACACGTAGATTGTAAAACTGTGTGAACTAGCTTTAGCACACATAAATCTGAACAGTCTGTGTGCTCTTGTAGTAAATATACCTGATCATTCTGATTTTCAAGTATTGGAGAAAAGCTGGAAATTATCGGAGAGGCTGCAGACAGTTCTTGGAGTTTTAAATTGATTTCATCAAGCTGCTGATGCTGGGTGACTGCAAGTGTGTACCCTTCTCCTGGAACCAGCCATCCAGACTGATCACCCTAAGAGGAAACAAAGGTTACCACGTCAGCTCCGTGCTGTATTTTTGCCAAAATATAACTTTCAGACAGCTCCGTTAGTACTCAAGACTTCACAAAAACAAACAAAAATAAGGCCAGGCGCGTTGTCTCTCGCCTGTAATCCTAGCACTCTGGGAGGCCAAGGCGGGTGAATTGCTCAAAGTCAGGAGTTCAAAACCAGCCTGAGCAAGAGCGAGACCCTGTCTCTACTATAAATGGAAAGGAATTAATTGGCCAACTAAAAATATATGGAAAAAATTAGCTGGGCATGGTGGTGCATGCCTATAGTTTTAGTTACTTGGGAGGCTGAGGCAGGAGGATCGCTTGAGCCCAGGAGTTTGAGGTTGCTGTGAGCTAGGCTGACGCCACAGCACTCACTCTAGCCTGGGCAACAAAGCGAGACTCTGTCTCAAAATAAATAAATAAATAAACAAACAAATGAAAAAAAATAAATAACCAAGTTAACAGTGGGGTAATGAAAGCAAAAAATAAAATATTTTAGGTTTTTTTATCTGCCAAAACTGTGGATAAAGTATCTTCTTAGATTTTGTGTGTTTTTTCACCTGTGGAATAACTCTTAGTCTGGTTTCATAGTCTGATCCTCCCAACATTCTCATTTCTCTACTTTCAAAAAAATGTTTTATGATAGGTTGAATAGAAAGAAATTAGGTTTACCCTGTAATGGGACATGGTATTTTCAAACTTTGTCCCTTAAAAGTAACGCAGGGTCTATAAAGTCAGTTGCTTGGCTTTCATGAACTTAATTGATCATCTAACTCTCATTCAACTAATATTAGTCTTGTATTATCTTTCAAAACCCATTCATAACATTCATTCATAAATCTCATGCTGAATGCCTACTGTGCACAGGCACTGCGCTGGGCACTGGTGAATCAATATGAATCTTATAAGGTTCTACCCTCCCGGAGTTCTCAAACTCTTGGCAGTAACAATTTTGACAAGGTGCGAAGAGTGCTGATAAGCCCTGGGCACCATGGGAAGCAGTGAGAGTCAGCTAATCTCTGTGGGCAGGAAGGAGCAAGGAAATGAAGTGGTTGGAGAAAGCTTCCAGGAGGAAATAGGGCCTTAATGAAAGAAACATGATTGGTTCTTTACTTTAAAACAAGAACTAGTGAGGGCAAGACTGGAGGGAAAAAAAAAAAAACAGCTAAGAAGCAATAGCCATAATCCTGAACAAAAGTGATGAGTGCCTGAGCTAACGAAGGTTTCCTGAGTATGGAGAACATAGAAGAGATTCCAGAGATACTTAGGAAGTAGAATTTACAGGACCTGGAGATGATTTTATGGAAGAATAAAGGGAGAATTAATGATCAAGACTAAAAAGCAAGTTCTTGATTTTGTGAAGTAGGTGGATGGTGGTCACATGGTCTAAACTATGGAATGTAGATGCAGTAAGTTTGAGGAGGAAAATGATGAATTCTTTGGGATCTTATGAAATTCACACACATCCCTAGGATATCCACAGATTACGTTAGGCAGTTAAATATTGTTATCTGAAGTTCAAGATCGACATTAGGGATTAAATAAGCATTTTGGACTCACCACATGTCTACAGTGGTTCAAACCCTTGGAACTATGGGAATGGATAAGGTCACACAGGGAAGCAGGTAGTGCAAGAAGAGGACAGAAGAATCACGAAGAACATTTAGAATAAAGTGGCAGATTGGGGGACAAAGAAGCTTAAGAATTTCATACCCTTTCCTTGCATGATGCTAATACCAAGAATCAATCCCTGGTGGTAACCAGAACTATAGTAAAAACTTATGCAGAGGCCGGGCGCGGTGGCTCACGCCTGTAATCCTAGCACTCTGGGAGGCCGAGGCGGGCGGATTGCTCGAGGTTGGGAGTTCGAAACCATCCTGAGCGAGACCCCGTCTCTACTAAAAATAGAAAGAAATTAATTGACCAACTAAAAATATATATATACAAAAAATTAGCCGGGCATGGTGGCACATGCCTGTAGTCCCAGCTACTTGGGAGGCTGAGGCAGGAGGATCGCTTGAGCCCAGGAGTTTGAGGTTGCTGTGAGCTAGGCTGACGCCACGGCACTCACTCTAGCCTGGGCAACAAAAGTGAGACTCTGTCTCAAAAAAAAAAAAAAAAAAACTTATGCAGAAAGGTTTTTATATTTGTCTCTTCCTGAACAGTGTTGGTAGGGAACAGATCACCACCAGATGCTCCTTCTCCCTATCCACTGGTATCAAGACAAGCAAATGACCTAGGTTCAGCCAACCAGAAGAAAACACCCTAAATTTTGAATCTTCACAGGTACAAAGATGCAGGGAAATGACTAATAGTGACAGTAGCAGCAGAGAGAATCCAGCATTGGCAGCAGCGACAGCAGCAAAAGTGACCATCTATCAGGGACAAGTGTCTGGTGCCTGTGGAGCTGGGACTGCCCCTAACCAGCCTGTGCCCAAGGAGCTCCTATAGCCATATGTTTCTGGCTAACTTGACATCTGCCTGGCTCTCCAAGCTTGGCTTTACAAACCTGGCTCCAAACTTCCCACTGAGTCTGTGAGCTACCCAAGTCTCCCGATAAATTCATTTCCTATTGTTTTAGACCAAGTCCATCTCTGTTACTTGCAACATAGAACACTAACTGATAATGTTTGTTGGCATTTATTTATAATAAAGAAGAGATACAAAAAGCCCAAATGTCTAAAAACAGAGGAAAAGTGGGTATATTGTAGTATTGCCATATAAGTTTATGATATAGTAATAAACATTTTTAAATATATGTGTAAGTTCACACAATTATTTTAAAAACATATTACCTAATTACTCACAAATAAATTCTGGTAATTTTTCGTGAACAAAAGTGGCATAAATATTCTATGACCTAAATGAGAAATGAAAATCACAAAAAAAGTAAGAAATCAATGAATAGTGATTAGCAAATTTTGAATCCTTGTTTAAATGGAATTTTTTATGACACTGGAGTTAAAAGAGCATGTCTGATTAAATTCAATAAACATTTAAATTTTTCATTCACTATGCAATTACAGAAAGAAATTATATGTAATAGGTAGTAGATGATATCATTTTTTTTTTCTGTCTAGCACCTTCTAGACACCAACACTACATATGGGGAATTTCTGGCTTTTACCACTCTTACTTTCCCAAGACAGAAATCAGAAAATGCTCTTAATCAGACTCCCTTACAGCTGGGGTTCAGGCTGGTAACCAAGGGTTCACCAACCAGACTCACCCATTCAACCCCGTTAGAGTAAGTAACCTGAGTTCTGATGCAAAACCCGTTTGAGGGCAATAGTGGCAGTAGAGACATCTGGCTTAGGAGGTGCCATTTGTTGCAAGTGTGAGTTCCCAAAATAGAAGGAAATATTTTTAAAATTCCAAATATATATCTTAGAAATATTCAAAAGAATATTATGTCCATTAAATTAAACATGCCACTATAAAGAACGACCAGAGTCCTGGGGAATTAAAACATAATTATCATTTTATTCATCTTCTTTAAGTTCTTTAAGTTGTATAGTTACTTGTCAAAGATGAGGTTGGAAGGCACCCCATATAAAGGAAAGGGCAAACATTTGAAAACACAGAGGTTTGAAATAACACAGAGAATTTGAGGAATGGCAATAAGTTTGGTATGGTTTGAAAATACAGCGAATAGGCTCTTTCCTCAAAGTTGTCCTAAATTCTTTCTGCTGCTCTTATCTTCCTCCTCTGAATTACTATTCTAACATGTGTCACCATCTATGTGGCTTTATACAGAATTCTGTATTTTATGTTTTTCACCCATACCAGATAATAAGAGGACTTGCAAAAAGAACTTTCAGCAAATACAAGTGTAAAAAAATAATACTTGTAAAAAAGAAACCTCAGATGAAGGCTGAGGGCTGCATGGATAAATGGCAGAGTAGACGTGGTTGAAACTCAATTTGCAAAACTGTAAAATTAGCTCATATGAGCAAAATGATTAAAAAAAAAAAGATGAACATTACAGAAAAAAATGTTACAAGACCTGGAGGAGAGAGAGATACAAGAGGGACTAAATCATATCCATCTGTGGCAGACATTGTCTATTAACTGACCTGATCCTATCTTCTAATTTCCCTCTTCCTTGCCTACCTCTGCTACAAAACAAGAGAAAGCAATATACCTGAATCCCCCTTCTCCTTTGCAGAATGTACAGAACAAATGGCTGTGTGACACAGCTTGGCCAGTGAGATGCAGGTTGAAGACACCATTATCATCCCAAATGAAAAGCCAAAGCCTCAAAGGAGGGTCTCTCTGCCCTTTAAGGGGCAATTTTACAAACCTAAACACAAAAGCCACATTAAGAATGTAAAACAGGAAAATAGAAAGACACTAGCTACTTATTCCTGGATTTCTTGTTACCAAAGAAAAATAAACTCCTTACTTCTTTAAGCCACTGTTTATAAAGTTTTGTGTTACTTCCAGCCAATCACACTCCCAACTGATAACACGTTTTATAGGTATCCCAAAAGGAAAAGAGATGATGGAAGGGAAAAAATAATAGAAGATAATTTCCTGAACTGAAGAAGGATTTGAACTTTCAGATAGAAAGGGCCTACAAGGGACCTGGCAGGAATAAAAATGATTTTAAAGACACACATAGATAGCATCAGATAAAAGTTGTGAACCCCACAATAAAGAGAAAATCATGGTTCCAGAAATAAAAGATTTTACATCTAGAATTTAGTCACCTCCTAAGCTAACATTCAAGTGAGGAAAAATAAATAAATTTTTGAATATGCAAGCACTCAAAAATTATCCACATGACCCTGTTTCTAGGAGGAAATTTTTTTCAAAAAAAATTCCAAAAATAATTCAAGGAAAATGATTTATACAATAATAAGTTGAGTCCAAACATAGTTTAAGATGTGGCTAAAAATTTTGGTGAAATTTGGTTGAAAAAAATTCCTAAAATACAAGAAGCATATTGTTTTTAAAGGGAAAGGGAAAAACTTATA